CCGATAAAAATGAGGTCCGAAAAAATGACTCGAACGAAGGCCACTGAAATCGGCAACCCTACCAATAATACACATCAACAATATTTTTTTTAATTTAATTACAGTTAATTTAAATTGCTAAAATTAAAGACAAAATCTTTGCTAATATTTTTGTTAACTTAGTGTATCCAAAAATGAATAGGTATCTTGAATTTACGTAGAGTTTTCAATTTCATATGTAAACGTAAAATAGAGAGTAGACTTCGAACAAGTTCTTTCATCTTCATAGCAAATCTCACTTTCTCTCATTTTTGTTTCGAATCAACAAATTCCTCTAAAACAAATGGAAACGGCTTGTATCCAAAATATAGTAAAGACACTTCTTCAAATTTAGTCGGCATTTCAGGAAATGGCTCTTCTTCGTCTTTATCTTCTATAGCTTTCTCAACAGTTTCAAGAAATGTTTTAATTTGTCCATTAGGAAATTGGTGTATTGCTTCTTTAATTTTGTTGGCATTTTCAGTAAAAATGTTTGTTGGATGTTGATCTTCTCTAAAATATTTTAAGCTCTAGGACAAAATTTATCATGATTTTCATGGGTGGGACATTGATCCGTGGTTCGTAGAAACCTACAGGACTACAAACCAGGGGTGGCTCTCGTCTCGTATCTCGTGAAATCTCGTATTTTATGGCACTCGCGCCACCCCTGCTACAAACCTACAGGATACCATTCCCATCTTATTTTTTAAAATCACATATAGAATACCTCATTAGTATATAAAAGGCATCAGGGAATTCTTGAACAAATTTTGTATGATCAACAACAATCCCAACTTTCATATATTCTGCAATTTTGGCATTAAACTTTTCTTCAAAAGTGAAGGGAATTAAAAACAATGGAACACCAGCATAAAGGGCCTGTAAATTAATTGAATTTTATTTAAAATTGGTAAAAAAATTTTATTTGTTAAATATTTTCATTTCATAAAATTTCAAATTCAATATTTAAATACCATTATAGTCGTTATTAAATTGGTTTTTACAATAGGGTGGCTAATTCTGAAAAGATCGCAGCTTCATAAAATTTTCAGATTATTCTCATAAATGTATCGATATAAAGATATGTATGTACATGCATTTAATAGTAATGTAAAATTTACAATGGTTTATAGTTATTTGAAAACCAGACATTTTCAAATCCCTTTCGACAAATTATCCAGAAAACGGCATTATCGTAAATGCTGAAATAATTACCCTGGGTAATTATTGTTTAGATCTTTCGCTGAAGGGGGTAATTATTCCAGAATATACGTTAGATTGTAATTAGATACCTGATCAAAGCATTTTTGATCACCGACAGTAATAAAACCGCGAAGATTCTTCTGTGCTGAAATATGGGACTTTTTGTTAGTTTTTAAAAAGGTAATAAAAATAATGTCGAAATTAAATACTCTAAATATTTGAAATTTTTTTCTTTCGGTATCGGTCAGGGTGGCCTTTTTACCCTATTTATAGAGGATTTTCCCTATTTTTGATCTTTTTGCCCTATTTTTTCCCTGTTTTGTACATTTAACATATTTTGCCCTATTTTTATCAATTTTTAAAATTTCAAGATGGCGACAGTCATCTTGACGTGTTCGTGGTCAACGACCGTGGTCGTGGTCGACGACAGTCATCATGACGTGGTTGTGGTCGACGACAGTCATCTTGACGTGGTTGTTGTCGACGACGGTCATCTTGACGTGATCGTGGTCGACGACCGAGGTCGTGGTCGGCGACAGTCATCTTGACGTGGTCTACGACAGTCGTCTTGACGTGGTCAACGACAGTCATCTTGACGTGGTCGTGGCCTACGACAGTATCTTGACGTGGTCGTGGTCAACGACGGTCATCTTGACGTGGTCGTGGTCGTCGACAGTCATTTTGACGTGATTGTGGGCGATGACAGTCATCTTGACGTGGTCGACGACGGTCATCTTGACGTGGTCGTGGTCAACGACAGTCATCTTGACGTGGTCGTGTCCTACGACAGTCATCTTGACGTGGTCGTCGACCGTGGTCGTGGTCAACGACGGTCATCTTGACGTGGTCGACGACCGTGGTCGTGGTCGACGACAGTCATCTTGACGTGATCGTCGACCGTGGTCGTGGTCAACGACGGTCATCTTGACGTGGTCGACGACCGTGGTCGTGGTCGACGACAGTCATCTTGACGTGGTCGTGGTCGACGACGGTCATCTTGACGTGGTCAACGGCAGTCATCTTGAAGTGGTCGTGGTCAACGACGGTCATCTTGACGTGGTCGTGGTCAACGACGGTCATCTTGACGTGGTCGTGGTCGTCGACAGTCATTTTGGCGTGATTGTGGGCGATGACAGTCATCTTGACGTGGTCGACGACGGTCATCTTGACGTGGTCGACGACGGTCATCTTGACGTGGTCGTGGTCAACGACAGTCATCTTGACGTGGTCGTGTCCTACGACAGTCATCTTGACGTGGTCGTCGACCTTGGTCGTGGTCAACGACGGTCATCTTGACGTGGTCGACGACCGTGGTCGTGGTCGACGACAGTCATCTTGACGTGATCGTCGACCGTGGTCGTGGTCAACGACGGTCATCTTGACGTGGTCGACGACCGTGGTCGTGGTCGACGACAGTCATCTTGACGTGGTCGTGGTCGACGACGGTCATCTTGACGTGGTCAACGGCAGTCATCTTGACGTGGTCGTGGTCAACTGCAGTCATCTTGACGTGGTCATAGTCAACGACAGTCATCTTGACGTGGTCGTGGTCAACGACAGTCATCTTGACGTGGTCGTGTCCTACGACAGTCATCTTGACGTGGTCGTCGACCGTGGTCGTGGTCAACGACGGTCATCTTGACGTGGTCGTCGACAGTCATCTTGACATGGGCCCCACCCTGTAGTTTCTCTATATTTTAGTTTAGGTATTTCGATGGAACCATTATTTTCTGGAAGAGAAAATGGTACTTTTCTGCTTTGTGACCGCACTTTAAAAATGTTAAAAAGGGTCATGAATATTGACTAATTATATGTCATTCGAAAGAGCTCCTCGAGCTGAGTCAAAAGACACCAAAATCATGGGGATTCGAACTGGTACGGGCTCGAAATGGTTAAAAGATACCAGGATCAAAACGGTCAAAAATAATGAATATGACCCAAATGTATGTCATTTGAAAGAGCTCGGGGACTGAGTCGAAAGACACCAAAATCACCGTGATTGAACAAGATTGGACAAAGTTATGATCGATTGTTTTAGCTCCTTACCTATGCACAAACGCTTCGCCGACGCTCCATGGGTTCACGTCGACCATTTTGAACCTTTTTATCTTGGCTCATAATCAAGATCTCGAGCTGATTTTGGTGTCATTCGACTCAGCTCGAGCTCTTTCGAATGACATATAATTTGTCCATATTCATGACACTTTTTAAACATTTTTAAAGTGCGGTCACAAAACAGAAAAGTACCGAGAAAATTCTTTAATAAAATTCTACCCAAAAATATTTGTAGATCTACCACATTTGTGTAAAAATATATATTTCTATAAACATTGTCTTCTAATTCCACTTGAAATAATGGATCATCTTTTAGTATCACTGATGAATAAAATCCGCTTTTGAGTTGAACAACAAATCTACATTTGTCATATTTCAAAAATGTGTTTACTAATTCATTAAAATATTCGTGTGTAAATCCTTTGAAGGTAGCGGTTTTACCCATATAAAATAAAACAAAGCAATCTGTCTGTAAAGGAAATTGGAAATTGAGAAAAGTCAAAAATTAAAAATAAAATATTATAAGTAATTCAGCAAAACACAAAAATTTCTTTTAAAATTTCATTGAATTTTAAGACAAACTTCGTCCCGAACTTAAGCTCAAAAATATTCGCAAAATACAAGCTTATTAAATTATCAAAGAGTTGATTTTGGATTTCTCACTGATACTGAAACAGATCTGGCCTGATTTTTCAAACGGTAAAATTAACAGACGGCCAAGAAACCAAAATTTTATAAATTCAACGCCATAAGTATAAGTTTTAAAATCCTGAAAAGCAAAGAAGCCAAAATTGTCCATTTTTTTAGATTTTCTAAACAATATAGGTAATAATCTAAGAAATAGATTTATATTAGGAATATAGGTTAAAAATTATATGTACTTAAAAGAAAAAGTTACAAAGTCGGAAATTTTCCAAGGAAACCATTACTGTATCGGCCTCTTAAAAGCATATAAATCCATAACCTCATACCAAGTCCAGTTTAGTGTTTTCTCCTCACTGGGTTTTCTCCTCAGAAGACTCGTACTCCGAAAAAATCCAGCCGGATCTGGTTCGGCACTGTGTCGTATTAAATACCTTTTTAATCCACCGAAATACAGGTTCTTCAGGTAAATATTCAATTAGTTTATTTTTAAAAAAGCCTATTAGACTACCCTTATTTTTCTCTTTTTCTTTCAATTTCTTTTTTTCCTCAATTTCATTCAAAATTCCTTCAATTTCTACTTCAATCCCTCCAATATTAACAATTCTTTTTGGAATATTTGGAAAGGGAAATTGTCCAAGTGGATGGACATTTATTAAATAATATTTTGATTTTCTTAATAAATCCCACATTTTTGGCATTTCTTCAACTTTAATTAATTTGTGGTTTCCTAATAAATTCTTTTCTAAAGCCCTTTTCCTTGCCAACATTAAATATTTTTCTTGATTTTGTTCATAAAATATAAAATACTCTACTGGGTGCATAAGCTCTAAATAGGAATAAATTGTTTAAGAAGATTTATAGAAAATTAAATTTAAGTTTAAAAAATTTAAAGTAAAGTTTTTGGTATTAAAATGCTGTAATTTTATGTTCACTAAATATTCCTTAACTATAAATCTTAGAGGAGTGAGAACATCCCAGTAGATCTATCTCTCGCTAATCTATTTACTGAAATACTTATGTATATGAAACATTAACAAGTTAGAAATTATCGCCGATTATCTCAATTAACCACAAAATTATTATACACTTTTTCTGAAGAAATTCTTACCAGGCATTGAATAATTGTGTTTCTGACCAAGAAAATGCAGATGAATGGGAAAAGGAGGTTTTGAACTTGCAGCTATATATTTATTTAATCCAATTTCTTTAAAAAGAGGAAATGCCCCTCCTGAATAAGAAAACTCAGCAATTCCCAATGCAAATTTGTTTGTTGTTCCCATATGTTTAAGCCAATCAAAAATTCTTTGTTTTATTCCATAGATTTCGACTTTAGGATTTTCAATTATTGCTTAAAAGAGAGGAATTGTAAAAATTAAATTTTGTTAATATATATTAAATAGAGCATTGGTTTTGGTTATGATTCTCAATTACCGGCATCCGATTCCAGATTTCGGAAATTCAGATCAAAAATCACTAGCTGTTTCCATTGATTACTATTCTTCTCTCAAAGTTTGTTTTCTTAACCTGTTATGTATGTATTGCACTTATAAGTATAAATTCTATACGTATACATCAAGGATGGTTCTTCCGCTTCCGTCTTCCGCTTTTTAAAATTAAAAATTATCCATCCCTAGTATACATCCTGATAGTAAATTTAACTATTTTAAATAACGAATAAAATTGAGAGAGTACAGTCCATTCCCAATAATATACACCTTACAAATTCATGTTAAAAAATTTACACACGCGGTAAACCAGTCCTTCCAGTCCAGTCCTAACAATGTGTCAGGCTTTAAGCTAACCTTTATATATGCCATACATGTAAAATCCTAGCACTTTTAAGGCGTGATGATCATCTTTTTTATCTTCAACTGTCCAACTAATAGTTTCAGATTTATTTGTACCAAATACTTGTGAATACTCTCGTTCATATTCTATATAAGGTACCTCTATTAATTGAACACCTTTTAAAGGTTTCTTCAAAATTTTATTTTCACTGTATTTAACCACGAGCAAATACTAAAATTCACAAAGTAAAATGTCTGAAATGGGAATTCGAAAGGAGTTATGTAAACAGGGATGTTTTTCGCATTTATCGATAATAACATTTAACTCTATCCTCTGATATAGTTTAGAGTAGGGTATTACTTTGGTAATTATTTTGGTAATCAGCACCATATCTTTCCTTATAAAATAGTTTTTTGCTATGAATTATCTCAAAAGTACTCTACTAAAGTTTTCGAGTCGAAATTCAAATTCTATGCAAGTTCGACAAACTATGTTAAGGATTACTTTAAAGATAAATTGAAGACCTTGCCCCTTCTCGCCATTACCAAGATAAATCTGTTTCATAAATTTTTCTGAGCTTAAAGACCCGTGTGCTGAAAGTAGAGTGGCACAATACCTCGATACTCAATTTGAGGAGAGACAGGAGAGATTCGACTAGAACGAATCAATTCCTTAGTAACAAATAGATTTTAGGAGAGAAAAGAAAAATGTGAAAAATTGTGTTTTGAGCGGGGAAAGTAAATAAAAGTTAAAATATTAATTAATAAAATTAAAATGGGATTTTAAGTGCCCTTTGGGCACAACCCGTAAGAGGCCCGTCCCAATCATCACAATAGTCTAAGTTATAAAACATGTTATTCATTTTTTATATTAAGAATATTTTTAATTTACCACATCATAATTGCCTTTGTAACAAAGAGCATTTGCAAGGTTTAACTAAAAATTGGGGTTAAATTACTATTCTTTTAACTTACGAAAAAATCATAATATTGATAAAAAGCCTCAGCTACTGGCAATATCTTTTTTCCATTACTAGTTTTGGTTGGGATTTGTTGATTGGATTGGATGCTTGAAGAAGATGATGGACCTTCCTCGTAATTTTGTTGAGAAAGTAAAGGGGTTTTACTATCTTCTCCTTTAGAGAAGTTCCACATACAATCAACATTGGACAGAAAATAAAAAAGAATTAAAAAATAATTAAGCCAAAAAATGGAAAACATTTTCAGCTAAAATTGAAAATTAATTAAATATTTAAATTCAAAAATTTTGAAATAATTTGTTAGTAATTAAGTCTAGTGTTTTCTCCTCATTTTTTGACTTTCGTTTAATAACAATAAAAATACATTTTTTGGAAAAAAATGTTAAAACTTTCAAAAAGTTTTAATGCTCAAGTCTAATTACCTAAATTAAAATTTTTTCTCGACTTCTTTAACTTAAAACAATTTATATTAATTATATGTACTTAATTATTTAATTTAATTATTAATATTTAAAGAAGATTTAATAAAAAATTTTAAAAGTTTTACTCAAATTGAGATTAAAGAAAATAATACTTAATTAAAATAAATAGATATAAGCCAATAAATAAATAATATATTTAAATTATTTTTTAATTATGCACTTTAATAATGCTTAATAAATCAAAATACAAAAAAGAAAAGTGCAAAAAATTTAAAGACAGTCTAAAAATAAATTATCAAATAAAAAACCGACAGCAATTTTTAAAAGTGCAATTAAATTAATGTAAATGTATTTTTATTATGTAATTAAAATATTATTATGAAATAATTTTTAAAATAAAGTTAAATTATTAAAATATTTAAAAATTAGATTTAATTACTAGAACTAGCCAAAACATCCAAATTACAAAACCGAATAGCGGAAAAGAATGTCCGGAAATGAGTTGATTTAACTTTTAAGTTTTGTTTAGGTTCGATCTAAGGATGGCGGTTCCTGGATATCCGGAACCGATAACCGAACCGAAAATTTCCGGCTATCCAGCGTTCCCCGTCCCTCTCCCTCTGCGGGGAACGGAGAAAAATTTACACTATGTATTCAGCCTTTTCTATATTATGGTTGACATTTTGACCTTGTTTTAATTTTTACAGCAAAATGGCAGTATATTTTAGTTAACCAGATGAAGAAGTTGAATTAACTGATAATGATGATTAAAGAATTGTTTATTTATTAAATAATTAATATTTCTTCAGAAATAATTAAAATAACTTTTTAACTAATTTTATTCAAATTCGAGTTACTTTGTGTTAAAAAAATCCCCCGGGGAATTCCCTGGTGGTATCTCGCGGAAGTCCTCCCCGCACGTTCCCCGTAAACTCAGCCCCAGCAGGTAATATCGAACTCTAGTTTTGTTATGATTTACAAATCTAAGGACGAGCACATTTGCTCGTATATAAAAAGAAAAAAACGGAAAAAAATTAAAAAAACAGTCTAAAATTTAAAATAACAAAATAAAAATGCCGACTAATTATGTAACTGTCTAATATTTAAAAATAATAAAGTGCATTTAAATGAATGTATCAGGGATCGCGCCGATCCGATTTCCGACGATTTTTGGCTCGTGGATTCCCGATTCACGAAAATCAGGAATTTGCTTTTTTGTCAGCGCGATCTTGGAATGTATATTATGAAATATTATAAAAAATATGAAATATTTAATTTCTAATTTTTTAGATAGCTACTAGAGATCGAGATTTTTGAAAAGCCTGGGCCTGTTCCTGGGTTCCGGGTTTGATCTATTGACCTGGGCCGGATCCTGGGCCTGTAGTCCAGGAAAAACCCAGGCCCAGAAAAAACCCAGGAAGGTCTCAAATGCCTGGGCCTGGACTCTGGGTACAGGAAAAACCCAGGCCTTGGTCCAGGCCCAGCTCGATCTCTAATAGCTACATACATGAAATTGTTAATCATCTAAAATATAAAGTCAGATTTAGATTTTACGTACACTAAACTGTTATAATTTAGGTTGACACAAATTTTTCAACCCCATAGGTTTACGTAAAATTGAGTCCCGAATATAATAAAATCTTTCGAGGTTTTTTTACTTTTCTTCATCAAAATCTCTCTCTTTCTCTCAATTTTGTTTCGAATTAATAAACTCATCTAAAACAACCGAAAACGGTTTAATTCCTCCGACATGTCCAATTTCTTCAAATTTAGTAGGCATTTCAGGAAATGGCTCTTCTTTGTCTTTTCCTTCTATAGCTTTCTCAACAGTTTCAAGAAATGTTTTAATTTGTCCATTAGGAAATTGGTCGATTACCTCTTTAATTTTATTGGCGTTTCCAATTAATGTATCTGAACTAAACTCCTGACTTTCTCTAAAAAGTAAACACTATTAATTATTTAAAGGAATAAATTTTGGCAGGCTTAAACAAATTTGTAATTTTCAGAAGTCGAACAATGAAAGCTTGTTCTAATGAATCATTCATCAAGAATGTTTTTAACATCGAAGACATAAAAATAACTACTAACCCGATTAATTCATTAACAGCAAAAGGAAATTCTTGAATAAATTTTGTATGATCAACAACAGTCCCCACTTTCATAAATTTAACAATTCCTGCATTAAACTTTTGTTCAAAAGTGAAGGGAATTAAAATTAATGGAACTCCACGATAAAGAGCCTGTAAAATTAATTAAATTTTATTTAAATTTAGTTGATTTAAAATTTTTAAATATTTTTATTTAATTCCTAATTCAATATTTATGTAAAAATATGATCGGGAATCTCTTGCATATTCTCTCTTTCATTTTCCTTTGAAACTAGGTTTGGACTTATTGATACATTTTTTGGTCTGTTCATGTCTCTCAAATCTTGCTAATGAATGTGTAGCAAATAAAGGTATCAATAAGATAATGTATAAAATCGCCAAAAACGCCATGGCTATTTTGAAATGCGTGTCCCAAAATGTTCATTGAGAATTTTGGAGGACAACAAGTTGAATTCTTCAATCTTCCTAATTCTAGTATTTGAACCGAAAATTTCTGATATCCGGTCTTTTTCCAGAGCTGGATATTCGGATACGTCAACCTCATTTGTAATAGCACAAAATGAAATAAATTAGATACCTGATTAAAGCATTTCTGATCGCCGGCAGTGATAAAACCTCGAAGATTTTTCTGTTCTGAAATTTGTGACAAAATTAAAAAATTTTATATAATAATTTCATTTTTTGGGTCATAAAAAAGGGAATTGATAGTAACAAGAATTTAAATACATCGACAAAGTTTAATAAATTTGTTGGTAAATTTAAAGCGTGTTATTATTTAAAGAATTTTTAGACAAAGTAAAAGATAGTGTCTGTTTCAATCTTCTATCGTTTCTACTTTTATTGAAGTATAAATTTTTTAATGAAAATTTACCTAAAAATTTTTGCAGATTTACTTTATTCATGTAAAAATATATATTGTTATAGGAAGGGCCTTCTAATCGCCATGGCGCTGAAAAATTCTTTAGTAGCATTACTAACGAATG